AAAAGAATGGAAATAATAATATCTTTGAGATTAAATATTAGAGCTTTTTCATCAATAAATTATCTGGATTAGTTACGTATGTGTTGTTAATATTTAATTTGTTTCTCAACGAAACATTTAACTATTGCAGTAGTAAGTGATTTCATTACAAGGGGCTTGCTAGCTTATTTTTATTACTCTAAGAATCTAAATTGTATTAAAATTAAATTTTAGCTGCAGCTCAAAATGATAACACCTATATTGCAATATTATATAAATCTATTATATATCACTAACAAAATGATCCAAATTCCAAAGAAAAATGCTCAAAATTCTACGTACGTACCACGTAACAAAAGGCCCAGCATTTTTGTAGCTAATTTAGTTAACCATTTATCTGTACGGAACTCCCTATCCCAACTCGACTTGTGCCAAATTATCCATCTCACTAACTTAATAAGACATCTTTGCCCCTCTTACAAATTATAAAAGCATTTGTAAGGTTAAACTTTGTCATTATTAACCTCATAATATATTTATCCATGGCTAAGAAGGCCACCATTTTTTGTGTTGCAACCCTTCTCCTTCTTCTCATACCTTTCTCTCATGTTCTTGCCCGAAGGCAACCGGCTTTTCACGATGTCACTCCGATGGATACACATAATCAGGTTCGTATTACAAATATGCATATATAGATATAGAGATATTTGTATTTGTGTACAAAACGTTCGAATTATGATTTTAGCGAGGCTAAAATGCAATTTTGGTTTTATTAGATTTTATATGTAGCAATTCAGATCTCACTGGAGTGACATATAACAATTTATGCCCTGTAATTTAAAATTTTATTGTAATTTCAGTCATTTTGACCATCATAATTAGAAATTTGACGTAAATTGCTAACTAAAATTTTACCCCAAATATATATATTGGGAATTTTTACGGACGAAAGGTGCAATAAAATTTTAATTTCAGGGCGTAAATTATTATACGTCACTCCAGTGAGATATGAATGGTTACATTCATATCCTAATAGGAAAAAATTTTCAATTTAGCCTGTTATATATAATAATATTATTAATTAGTGTATATATTTTATTTGAATATACATCTAATTGTCGCATTTTGTTAATTATTTTAGAATAACGAAGGGCACAAAATAGTTGTTGATCAGGATAGTTGTGCTGGACTTGGAGAAGACGAGTGTTCGATGAGAAAAAATCTTGAAGAACAACTTGATTATATCTATACGCAGAAACAAAAGCATCTATGAGGACCGAGGAGGCCAATTGGAAAGAAAATTAAAAAATTTAAAATCAATTTTGACAGAGTTGTAAATTTTTATGATAGTATAATTAATGATTAGCATTTGTGATAATTTGAAATAAAAAAATGATTATCATTTTAAATAGTTATTACTTTATTAGTTATTCATTATTTGTTGGACATTTATTTTACACTATCACAATAAACGTTATAGATATTTTTATATTCTCATTTTTTATTAGGAAAAAATTGTGACCAACCTGAACTTTAGGGATTTTTTGAGTTTGCAACTTAATCTTTAATTTTTGATATATTGCAACCCCAACTATACGTAATTGGTAAATACCAACCTCGGCCACCGAAATTGGCGAAAAACTCCTTAAACGGCGGAGCTGGCAACTTTTGTAAGGGTATACTTGTAATTTTAGCTTATATATGCAACAAACATCACTATCAGTTTCAAGAATAAAAAGATCATGACATTTATTTGGTTCTGTTTTACCGCAATAGAAGGACTTAAACATAACCCAAGTTCCTTATCCATACATAGAATTTCAACCATTGATATTTTATCAGGGTCACAAAAATCAATATGAGCTATAGCTACATTTCGGCCAATGTAATCGGTTCTACTGCTATGATTGACAAATGAACCATTGTGATGAACCTGCAAAAAAATCAGAAAGAAAAAAAAAACTGAAAACATCAAATCCCTAAACTATTCCAGAAAATGCCAACATTGTGTATCAATATAAGTGCAACAAACTTACCGTAATCTGGAAAGAATCTATTAGCTGTAATAGTCGTGCATTACTCACGAATAGTCAACACCATTTCGCTCAAGAATCAAAGGTGTAGGGTTGTGAAAATGGAGAAATCGCGAAATTGGATATGAGATTTTAGAAATTGGGGATGAATGATATTTTAATAGTATGATATGATATGATATAAGATTACACTTTTACCATTAAACTCCAGTCGTTTCGGTGACCGAGATTGGTATTTACCAATTTCGTATAATTGGAGTTGCAATTTATAAAAAATTAAAGATTAAGTTGCAAACTCAAAACAACCCTAAATTTCATGTTCATCAATTTTTTTTTTTTCCTTTTTATTATGCAATTTTTTTTATTTTTTTTTTGCACGTTTTCCTTAATTTTTAGTACTCAACTAGTAGATATCCTGTGCACATGCACAGATGTACATAAAATATTATTAAGTAATATTTGAGAATTTAATATTTAAATTCTAGATAATTAATATATTACATTTTCAAAAATTTGATCATTAGGAAAAATAAACTAACGATTTTATTATTATGAACAATTGTTTATTATCATTAAATAATAACAGTTTGATTATTATTATTATTATTATTATTATTATTATTATTATTATTATTATTATTATTATTATTATTATTAAAAATAATTGTTCATAAGTTTCTAAAGTTGTTTGACTATGCTATTAAAATAATTTACTAATTATTTTATAGAATTTTTTTCATGAGATACAAAAGAAAAGAATAATATTGATGTTAATATAAATAACTTGAAACAATTGTTTATAATTATGTAATTTGTATTTATTGTG